AGTTTGTCAGGCAGAGTAATTGGAGGTTTGTATGCCCTAGACACTTCAAGGACAAAGTTAATGGCAGGAGCTGAGCTCTGCTGAAGTAATTAGATAAGATGACTGCATCTATCACTCCTGAGGTCAAGGAAACCTCCCTGACTGCACATGTGCAGAAAGACTCCTTGGGGGTCAAAAAGGAAGGGGTGCTGCCCCATAAAAGGTGCTGTCAATCTTCCATAGGCCTCTGTGCTGGAATCCACCTTGGCAATAAGATGCACACGCATATCAGGAAGGGCCCTGGGTCTGGTCAGAGGTGGGAAACGAAGCAAGATGACTGGCCAAAGGCCCGGAAAAACTGCCTCCATATAAGTGATTTAAATCACCTCTCTGGTGTGCTCCTCATCAGGGAGAACGTCCACACTCTTCTCTGGGTGTGTATTTCTGCTTTGCTCTAAATAAATTGCTTCTTTGTTCTCTTTGCACATACTGTGCTTCCGATAAACTCTGTGCCTGCTTTACAGTGGAATTCTCTCTCCAAAAAAGACAAGGACCAAGGTCCTCTAACCTAACGACATCAGTTCTGCTCATTTTTGGAAGGTAGGGAAACAAGGTGGTGGAGTTGAAGGATGTGAGCTCACCTCTTCTCAAGAAAACACCAAAATCACAACTAACTGCTGAACGACTATCAACAAAAAACACTGGAATCTATCAAAAAGGGTATTCCACATCCAAAGACAAAGAAGGAGCCAGAAGGAGATGCCAGGAGGGGCGCTTTCTCAATATAATCAAACCCTGTACCCGCCAGGTGAATAATCCACAAACTGGATCCTCTGTTAGAGCTTCTCCCACAGAAGTGAGAGTTCTGATCACTACGTCAGGCTCCCCAGCCTAGGGGTCTGGCATCAGGAGGAAGAGCCCCCAGAGCATTTGGCTTTGAAGGCCGGTGGGCTTGAGTGCAGGAGCTCCACAGGACTAGGGGAAATAGAGACTCCACACTTGGAGGGCACACACAAGGTTTCATATGCACTGGGATCCAGAGCAAAGCAGTGACTCCACAGTAGCCTGGGCCAGACCTACCTGAGGGTCCTGGAGGGTCTCTTAGGAAGGTGGGGGTCTGCTGTGGCCCACTGCGGGGACAAGGACACTGGTGGCAGAGGCCCCAGGGAATACTTCTCAGCGTGAGCTCTTTTGGAGGTCACCATTTTGGCACCAAGATCTGGCCCCACCCAACAGCCTGCAGGCTCCAGTGTTGGGACACCTCAGGCCAAACAACCAACAGGGTGGGACCACGCCCCATTCATCAACAGAAAGGCTACCTAACGTCCTGAGCCCACAACCACCTCTAGACACACCCCTTGACATGGCCCTGTCCACCAGAAGAGCAGGACCCAGCTCCACCCACCAGGGGGCAGGCACCAGTCCCTCCCACCAGGAAGACTGCACAAGCCCCTGAACCAACCTCACCCACCAGGAGGCAAACACCAGAAGCAAGGAAAACTACAATCCTGAAGCCTGTGGAATGGAAACCTCAAACACAGAAAGTTAAATAAAATGACATGGTAGAGAAATATGTTCCAGATAAAGGAATAAGATGAAGCCCCAGAAGGACAACTAAGTGAAGTGGAAATGGGCAATCTGCCTGAAAAAGAATTCAGAATAATGATAGCAAAGATGATCCAAGATCTCGGAAAAAGAATGAAGGCACAGACTGGGAAGATACAAGAAATGTTAAACAAGAGCTAGAAGATTTAAAGAACAAACAGAGATGAACAATACAATAACTGTGAAGAAAAATACACTAGAAGGAATCAACAGCAGAATAAATGAGGCAGAAGAACACATAAGTGAGCTGGAAGATAGATTGGTGGAAATCACTGCTGTGGAACAGAATAAAGAAAAAAGAATCAAAAGAAATGAGGACAACCTAAGACACCTCTGGGACAACATTAAACGTGCCAACATTCACATTATAGGGGTCCCAGAAGGAGGAGAGAGAGAAAGGGCATGAGAAAATATTTGAAGCAGTAACAGCCGAAAACTCCCCTAACACGAGAAAGGAAACACTCACTCAAGACCAGGAAGCGCAGAGTCCCTTACAGGATAAACCCAAGGAGGAACAAGCCAAGACACATACTGATCAAACTGAAGAATAAAAACAGTATGATAATCTCAACAGATGCAGAAAAAGCTTTTGACAAAATTCAACACCCATCTATGATAAAAACTTGCCAGAAAGTTGGGCATAGAGGGAACACACCTCAACATAATAAAGGCCATATACAACAAACCTACAGCTAGCATCATACTCAATGGGGAAAAGCTGAAAGCATTTCCTCTGAGATCAGAAACAAGATAAGGATGTCCACTCTCGCCACTTTTATTCAACATCGTTTTGGAAGTCCTAGCCAATGGCAATCAGAGAAAAAAGAGAAATAAAAGGAATCCAAATTGGAAAGGAAGTAAAACTGTCACTGTTTGCGGATGAAATGACACTATACACAGAAAATCCTAAAGATGCTACCAGATAAGTAAAGCTCATCAAGGAAATTGGTAAAGTCACAGGATACAAAATTAACATACAGAAATCTCTTGCTTTTCTATACACTGACAACGAAAGATCAGAACGAGAAATTAAGGGTACAATCCCATTTACCATTGCATCAAAAAGAATAAAAGACCTAGGAATAAACCTACCTAAGGAGGCAAAAGACCCGTACTCTGAAAACTGTAAGATACTGATGAAAGAAATCAAAGATGACACAAACAGATGGAAAGATATATCATGCTCTTGGATTGGAAGAATCAGTATTGTCAAAATGACTGTACTACCCAAGGCAATCTACAAATTCAATGCAATTCCTATCAAATTACCAATGGCATTTTTCACAAAACTAGAACAAAAAGTTTTACAATTTGTATGGAAATACAAAAGACTCCAAATAGCCAAAGCAATCCAGAGAAAGAAAAAGAGAGCTGGAGGAATCAGGCTCCTTGACTTCAGACTATACTACAGGTTACAGTCATCAAAACAGTACGGCACTGGCACAAAAAACAGAAATATAGATCAACAGAATAGTACAGAAAGCCCAGAAATAAACCCACACACTTATGGTCAATTCACCTATGACAAAGGAGGCAAGAATATACAATGGAGAAAAGACTATCTTTTCAGTAAGTGATGCTGGGAAAACTGGACAGCTACATGTAAAAGAATGAAATTAGAACACTCTCTAACATCATACACAAAAATAAACATAAAATGGATTAAAGACCTCAATGTAAGACTGGATACTATAAAACTCTTAGAGGAAAACATAGGCAGAACACTCTTTGACGTAAATCGCAGCAATATTTTCTTTTAAAATCTTTATTGGAGTATAATTGCTTTACAATGTTGTGTTAGTTTCTGCTGTATAACAAAGTGAATCAGCTATACATATACATATATCCCCATATCCCCTCCCTCTTGCGTCTCCCTCCCAGCAATATCTTTATGGATCTACCTCCTAGAGTAATGAAAATAAAAACAAAAATAGACATATGGCACCTAACTAAACTTAAAAGTTTTGCACAGCAAAGGAAACCATAAACAAAATGAAAAGGCAATCGACAGAATGGGAGAAAATATTTGCAAACGAAGTGGGTGACAAGGGATTAATCTCCAAAATATACAAACAGCTCATGTAACTCAATATCAAAAAAACAACCCAATCAAAAAATGGGCAGAAGATCTAAACAGACATTTCTCCATCAACATACAGGTGGCCAAAACAACAGGAAAATATGCTCAACATCACTAATTATTAGAGAATGCAAATCAAAACTACAATCAGGTATCACCTAACACTGGTCAGAATGGCCATCATCAAAAAGTCTACAAACAATATATGCTGGAGAGGCTATGGAGAAAAGGGAGCCCTCCTACACTGTTGGTGGGAATGTATATTGGTACAACCACTATGCAGAACCGTACGGAGGTTCCTTAAAAAACTAAAAATAGAGTTGCCATATGATCCAGCAATCCCACTCCTAGGCATACATCCAGAGAATACTATACTTCAAAAAGATACATGCACGGCAATGTTCATTGCAGCACTATGTACAATAGGTAAATTGCTTCCAATTAGGTTGGAAACAACCTAAATGTCCATCAACAGAGGAATGGATAAAGATGTGCTACATATATACAATGGAATAGTACTCAGCCATAAAAAAGAATGAAATAATGCCATCTGCAGCAACATGGACAGACCTAGAGATTATCACATTAAGTGGAGTATGTCAGACAGAGAAAGTCAATATCATATGATATCACTTATATGAGGAATCTAAAAAAAAAATGATACAAATGAAGTTATTTACAAAACAGAAACAGACTCAGAGCCTTTGAAAACAAACTTATGGTTACCAAAGGGGAAAAGTCAGGAGGAGGGATAAATTAGGAGTTTGGGATTAACATATACACATTACTATACATAAAATAGATAATCAACAAGGATCTACTGTATAGCACAGGGAATGGTACTCAGTATTCTGTAATAACCTATACAGGAAAAGAATCTGAAAAAAAAAACTATAAATCAACTATACTCCAGTATAAAATGAAAATTAAAATAAAAGATATACCATTTCACACAAAATTTGCCAGTTTCTTGTATATTCTGTAGTGTACCTTACTGATGACATGTATACCTGTATTTTCTAAAAATATCTACATTTCTTTTACTTCCACATATTAAAAACAAACAGGAAACCAGTGATGTTTCTCCCAAAATTACATAAATTCTGTAATTACATAAAATGACAACTATGAGTTTATTTCATAAAGAATAAAGAATAAGCAAGTCAACTGAGAAAGAAGAACTTATTAAACTGATTCAATATATGTCAGTGAGGGTTATGTAATTATTTCTTCACAAACACAAAATATGATACCAGTACCAAGTGAATACTTAGGGCACTGAAAAAAATTAATGTTGAGGAATCAAAGTAAAAACTATTATAAAGTTGAAATTTACCTGTTGCAGATCAACAATGTTTACTCGACCTTTAAAGAAAAGACATTCATTTATTTTACATTATGTGTTAAGTACATACCAGCCAAAAACTGTAAATTCCAACAGATTTATGTTTTGGACTGTCAACGTCCTTCTACAAAGGACATAGGGCTGCGGTAATTAATGTCTTCAAACGCGAACCATTAGCTGAATAAATTTTCATGACTTAAGGTACAGACAATAGTTTATTTTCAAAGTTCCATCTGTCATATCAGGCCAATTAGAGAATCAGCTGATACACGGTTTAGCCAGATATACAGGGGTTATTTACCTCCCTTTGCAATTTTATCTACTGTGACCAAAGAGATACAGACAACTAAATTCAGGTAAACTTTTTTCAATTATTTGAAACTGGTAGGTTACCACTATTAGCTAAAGAATATCTGTTAAGTATTCCAAATTATAGCTAATATTTTATTAGGACTATGCAGGAAGATAAAAAACAAACACCAAGGGTATATCTAATGACATCTAATGAGTTGTTTTCACAGATGCATCTAATCTAATCAAAGTGTTCAAATTTGCTCAGTAATTTGTTCAAATTTCAAAAAGACAAGGGAAACAAAAACTTTTTTGTATGCTTGTAATAGCATTTCCTACAAACAGATGTAGCATGCTATTACATCGATTCCTAATTTGCAAATACTTAAAGTTTAAAAAAGAGCATGGTAGTACAACCTTGATTTTCAACAATCTATACTTTAAAATCTCTATTTCCTCTTCATAATTATCACCTGGTAAGAGGCAGCTAAGTATCCACCCCTGAGTCACCCAATAAATTCATGAACTGTGAAAAGAAACAGCTGATTAATTCACATACAGAACACATAACTCAAAATAATAAAAAATGATTTTTTTTTTTTTTTTTGCGGTACGCGGGCCTCTCACTGTTGTGGCCTCTCCCATTGCGGAGCACAGGCTCCGGACGTGCAGGCTCAGCGGCCATGGCTCACGGGCCCAGCCGCTCCGCGGCATGTGGGATCTTCCCGGACCGGGGCATGAAACCGTATCCCCTGCATCGGCAGGCGGACTCTCAACCACTGCGCCACCAGGGAAGCCCAAAAATGCTATTTTTAAAGTGACAATATTTGACTTCATTTAAATTATACGATCAGGTTTACCTAAACCTATTAAAAATATTAAGGCTGATTACCATATTAACAATTGAAAGGGTGTCCTATAACCTCCAAATCACTTATGATGTATAGTTTTAAGGGTTCTTCCCCCCTTCCAAAGAACCAGAAGAAAAAAACTAAGGAATTACTTACCACCTCGAACATGTAACTCATCTCTCATTTCTTTACTAATTTGGGCTGGAGTAATATATTCCTTCCCATCAAGTGTGTGAACTACTTCTAGCTGTTTCTGAGCAATCAATTTATTCACAATCTCAATGCAATTCCGCTCTGACAACCTGAGGGAAACAAAAGTTAACTTTTAAAAATGCATTTGATACATTCAGTGCATAATATGATTAAGAAAACGTATGAAAATGGGCTTTTAAAAAGGTTTGGGTAGTCATTAGGTTCTATATTACAAAATCTGTATCTTTTATTAGTATAATACTAATTCAATAAATTAAAAAAAGTTCTAGGGAGTAAACAGGTTTACACGAACTTAAATCATGTAGTTCATAGTTACAAATCTTTCTATTACAGATTTCAAGTTTGCTCTCTCTTCTAGGCCTGCTTCTAATCTTCAAATCTGAAAAATTAGGACATGTAATTTACATAAGGGAAAAAACTGCCCTACTTTTATTTCAATTTTCACTTTAGCTTCAGTTAAAAAAAAACAAAATTTTCTTTTATTGAATGCATTATTGTCTCATTCATACAACTCATCTGTAGGCAGGAGATAGGAAAACACGTTAAGTGTCCTAGTTTTGCTTGCACTGATACAAAACACAGCATCAAGGGATTAAAGTCTTCAGCCCCAGAAGGAACAAGACAAGGAATAGTCAACGGATAAAAAAGGGTTCTACTAGCTTTTTACGTGCTCGGTAATGGTAAAAAGCAGAGTTAGGGTGCTTTTCAGGACACCCCCCCCCCCGCAAAGGTTAGTGGGTTTGTAGGAAATATCAGTGTCCGGAGTCCCTAAAAATGACAGATAAGACCCTGGCTCTGGCCTAGGACATCTGTTCTGGTGAATAAAAAGGCAAAATGTTTAAGGGGTCAACAGAGTTATTTGCAAAGTACTGTACTTTGGGGTTAGCCTCTCCTTTCAAGCTCTAAGTCAGGAAGTGTATAACAGGCAATGACTTGCTGACGGTTAAGTAAGGGTTAGAGAGACGTTCTTAAGACAGCTCCAAGTCACCAGCCCCAGCTGTCGTGGGGGGAGGCCGCGCCTGCACCTGGCTGGGGCTTAAAGGGTGGGGGGATGTTCTCGGTCTCCCCGCGCCGGGAATTATACTGGCAGCCGCAATCTAGGCTTTGGGAGCGGGTGAGGGGGCGAGAACGCTGACAGCGGCTGGGAAGGTCCGGGGTCCAAGGCCTGGGGTTTGCGGCCTCACATCTTGGCGTGGCCGCCCAGGGGCTATTTTGGACTCCACAATGAAGAGGGAGGGTCAAGCACCTCTGCGTGGCCTCTGCGAACTGCGCCCGCTGGAAGTCAGCCGCCAACCGCCTAATCTCTTCCCAAGCGTCCGCCATCTCGGCCCTACTCGCCAAACAGCCGACCAACAGGAGACACGTCAGCCGAAAAGCCACGGGAGCCGGGCCGGAACGGGCCGCGAAGAGGGACAAGAGACTCCTCCCCGACGCAGCTACGAAACGCTTGCGGCCGGCGCAGGCGTGGGCGGGGCCCGAAAGACCTCAGCCCCGCCTACCCCGCGCAGGAGGTTTGTCCTCGGCTATGGAAGCCTGGCGGGGACTGCTGAGAGCTAGGCCGCGAGGTCTCTGCCCGGCCGCGGATGGGTTGCAGGAAAGCCAAGTTAATAAAGTGTTACTTTAGGTCTTTGTTTGCATTATCCCTAATGTTTTTGGCGCAGTGATAATCAAATTAACCACTCTTCTTTTTTTTTTCTGCCCTCCCTTTGTTTTATTTTTGGGAGGGGTGGCGGGGAGGAGATGTGCCGGGGCCTGCAGTTAGCATCCCCTCTTCTCTAGCTATGAAGGAAGGGCAATCCCATTTGTATAGGGAATCATGCTTATTTTTACTTGGGCTCAAAGCTTTGAACCTGTTGGATAATTACTTTTTTTTTTGCACAAATATAATTTGGGTACCATAAATGTTGGGAACTGCTTTCATGTAGTCTAGAGCCTTTCCGATTTCTCTTACGGGGAGGATTAGCTCCATCAAATAATGAAGAAATATAAACATAAGGTAATAAATGTATATGGCTATGGATGGAATGGAAGAAACAAGGAGCACGTTTGTTTTGCTTTCCCCTACATTGAAATCGGTAAAAAGTAGATAGTTACTCTGGAGTACCTTTCCTGATCCGTTTTACTTTTATACCTCACTCTTCATTTTTTAAAAAATGTATATACTATACATATATAATTCCTTTTAACTATATGCCCTATAGAGTTGGTGGAGGGGAGTTATTTCAGTTACTTTCCCATCTCAGTATCTCATTCTGGGTCACTCAAAGCCAATGCCACAAATGTTCTTGTCTAGTAAAGTACCCAGCTTTATTTAAAATGCAGAAAACAGTAATAAAACCTGTCACTAAGTACTGCCACCAAACAGGCAAACTGTTGGGCAATGTGGTTGCAAACTGAGAGGTGGAACACCAGGCATTAAAGAGGTAACTTGGAATAGAGTAGGTGATGTGGTCCCAAAGGGCATCAAGTTTCAGAACAAGCAGAAACATTCATTCATGTAACAAATACTTATTGATTACCAGATGCCATGGAGTACAGTGGTGGATAAGGCAGACGTGATCTTGCCATAAACAACTTGAAAATCTAAGGAAGCAGATTTTTAAAAAGGCATTTAATATAAAGTATGAAATTTATAACAATAGGGGAAGTATAATGAACTATGTGAATACTTGATATCCAGACTTCTTACTGATCACGTAAGACTCACGATCAGCATGGAGTCTACTTTCCAGCAGCATCCTCTGCGGCTGCATACCACATGTGGAGTAGCACACTGTGTCCTCCATACACCAAGCCTTTTCAGGACTTCATGTCTTTTCTGGATTGCCTGTCCTCTTCTTCACTCTCCTCTACCCACATTTATTTTTTAACTTATTCTTCCATGACGTCCCAGCTTAAATAAAACTCTTCAATGAAACTTTTTAAATTCCTGCAATTGTTTCATATGCTGTGTCCCCACAATTCTCTATTCAGATGTCTCTAGCAGCAAGCAAAATTATATTGTAATTTTTACTCACTACATCTCTCAGTAGTCTGGGCTCTTCAGTGAGCTCCTAGATGCTCTTTAGCATTTAGGATGACAACTGGTACATAGTGCCTGGTATATTCCATAAATGTTAAATGAGTAAGTCAGTGTAAATGTTTCGGTGCAGCACTACATTTTGGTACAGTAGTAACATTTACATTTATTCCTAAAAAGGGAATAATTCCTAAAAAAGGAAGAATTCATGATTGTACTTTGTAGAGATGGCTTGTGCTGACTAAAAGGATAGCCACCAGACAGATGAAGCTATTTAAATTTAAGTTAATTAAAATTAAGATTATACCAGCAATGAACAAATGGAACTTGAAATTGAAAACACAATATCGTTTTCATTAGCAAGCCCCCCAAATGAAATACTTAGGTATAAATCTGACAAAATATGTATAAGATCTACGTGAGGAAAACTACAAACTCTAATGAATGAAATCAAAGAAGAACTAAATAAAGGGAGAGATAGTCCATATTCGTGGATAGGAACACTCAGTATCATCAAGATGTCAATTCTTCCCAACTAGATCTGTAGATGCAATGCAATCCCAATCAAAATCCCAGCAAGTAACACTGTGGGTATCAACAAGCTGTTTCTGAAGTTTATATGGAGAGTCAAAAGACCCAGAATAGTCAACATGGTATTGAAGGAGAAAAACAAATTTGAAGGACTGACACTACCTGAATTTAAGACTTATTACAAAGCTACAGTAATCAAGACAGTGTGGCATTGGTGAAAGAATAGACAAACAGATCAATGAAACAGAATGGAGATCCCAGAAATAAACCGACATAAGTATAGTCAGCTAATCTTCCACAAAGGAACAAAATGTAATATGATGGAGCAAATACAGTCTTTTCAAAAAATAGTACTGGAACAACTAGACATTCACATGCAAAAAAAATTAATCTAGACATAGACCTTACACTCTTCATAAAAATTAACTGAAAATGGATCACAGACCTAAATGTAGAATGCAACTATAAAACTCCTAGGAAATAACAGGAGAAAATTTAGATGACTTCTGGTATGTCAATAACTTTTTAGATACAACACCAAAGGCACAATGCATAAAAGAAATAATTGATAAGCTGGACTTCATTAAAATTTAAAACTGCTCTGCAAAAGTCCATATCAAGAGAACAGAAGGCAAGCCACAGGATGGGAGTAAATATTTACAAAAGACACATACGATAAAAGACTATTTTCCAAAAGATAGAAAGAAGTCTTAACATTCAACAATAAGAAAATAAACAACCAGATGGAAAAATGGGCCAAAGGCTTTAACAGACACCTCACCAAAGTAGATATACAGATGACAAAGCAGCATATGAAAAGTTGCTTCATATCATATGTCATCAAAGAAACGTAAATTTAAACACCCAGATACCGCTACACACCTATCAGAATGGCCAAAATCTGGAACGCTGACAACACCAAATGCTGACTAGGATGTGGAGCAACAGGAATCCTCATTCGTTGATGGGAATGCAAAATAGTACAGCTGCCTTGGAGACAGTTTGGCACTTTCTTACAAAACTAAACCTACTCTTAACATGATTTAGCAATCACACACCTTGGTATTTACCTAAAGAAGCTGAAAAATTATGTCCACATAAAACCTGCACACAGACGTTTATAGCATCTTTATTCATAATTGCCCAAACTTGGAAGCAACTAAGATTTCTTTCAAAGGGTGAATGGATAAATGAACTGTGGTAAATCCAGACAATGGAATATTATTCAGCACCAAAATGAAATGAGTTATCAAGTCATGAAAAGACATGGAGAAAACAAACACATATTACTAAGTGAAAGAAGTCAATCTGAAAAGTCTACATACTGTATGATTCCAACTACATGACATTACGGAAAAATCAAAACTATGAAGGCAGTAAAAAGATCAGTGGTTGCCAGTGTTTGGGAAGGGAAGAGGGATGAAAAGGTAAAACACAGAGGCTTTTGAGGGTGGTGAGAATGCTCTGTATGATACTATAATGATGGATACTTGTCATTACACATTTGTTCACATCAGTAGAATGTACAACACCAAGAGTGAGCCATTATGTAACTACGGACTTTGGGTTCTTCTGACGTGTTAATGTAAGTGTATCAGTTGTAACAAATGTGCCCCTCTGGTGGGGGATGTTGATAATGGAGAGGCTGTACGTATGTGGGGGAACGGGGTATATGGGAACTTTCTGCACTTTCCTCACAGTTTTGCTGTGAAGCTAAAACTGCTCTAAAAAATAAAGTCTTTAAAAATATATGTATCATTTAATGTCAGTTCTTTAGTCACAAAAGCCACTCAATAGCCTCATATGGCTCATGGCCATCTTATGGGACAGTATAGAAAACCAATTTTATCTTCACCAAAAGTTCTGTTGGACAGCTCTGGTTTAGACCTTTGGTAAGGACACAGATTTGTTCAGACTCTAAGCTCATGAGACTCAAAGCAACCACCTCCACCTAGCAACCATATATCCCAACTACAGTTTCCGTTATTTTGAATGGGGTATAAAAATTTGAATGGGAATTATTTCAGTGTTAGCCAACATCTGATACATTACCTGATAGAATAATGGTAGGCACTAGTGACTACTGAATAAGTGATGAGAGATTTCTTTTAAGAACAATCTTTGTGTAGACTTGAAACATAGAGCTTCAATTTTCTAGAATATTTTCTAACAATTTGTGTCTACAAACTTAAGTCAGATTTTGACGTGTACATTATGTGGGAAGGATTCAAGGTCTTCTCGGCTACACTAGGTACATGATTGTGACACCATCCTTAGAGTCATCTTAATTTCAAAGGCTAATGAAATATTCTAATATCTGTAATGTGGATTGATGGTTTCACTGATTTGATATGAGCTGTGATCCTGTAAAATTCCTCCAAGATAAACTTTCTCTAACTTAACCAGCAAAATAAAACTAAACAACTGCAAAACGGGTACTTTCAAGCAAGTCAGTATTCATTTGTTGTTGTAGAGAAATTACAAAGACATAGACAGTGTTAATTACATAGCTGACATTCTTATTGTAGTTAGGGATATAACAGTTACCTTAACCTCATCATCAAAAATGGCAGTATAATCTTGTACATAGAAAGCATCAATGCCTTGGGAAACTACTGTGATTCATGGGTGGAAGAAGACATGGGTGGAAAAGGTCAGTAAGCAAGAGGATGAAATTGAAGAGATAGAAATAAGGGAAGCGAGAAGGTATAGGGGATCGAACAGTTAACAATACCTCTGCATGATCAAAGGGAATGTAAATAAATGCAACCCCATTGGCTTTTAAGGTAAAGAGGTTGTGACTTTTCAGAGGCCACTTCTTTTC